TGTCCAAACCATTTCAATCTGGCTTCTCTAGCTTTTTCTCCAAACCTTCCTGTCTGTGTTGTCCCTCTAATGATGTCATTCCCGATCCTGTCCATTCTTGTCAACATTCACCCACACACAAGGAAATTAACTGCCAGCTGATTTTTTTTTTAACACACCATGCCGTCAGATATCTTTCAGTATGAAATGCTTGAAATGATCGTACATTTTATTTTAATGACTGCAACCTTCAAAGTAGTTCACGGTGATCAGTGCTTAAATCAGTGTAGATAAAAAACAAAAACAACTTAATGTCACAAAAAGCCACCTGTTTATGACTGTAGCAATTGCTTTAAACATGATTAAAATGTCTCCTCTCATTGGCATAGTCTCATGGCCTGCAAATTTAACAACACAATTCAAAACTACAATAAAAAAAGAAGGAAATGTATTTACAAATAATCACAAATACAGGTTATACACTTATACATTAACAGAAATGAAAATGATCTGCACATACCAGACAGAAGTTTTTTCTTATGTTGCTATAATCTAATCTTCACAGTCACAAATGTGGGGCTTCATTAAAAAGGCCTTTTGAGTCATAACATTGGCTATTATTGTATGCTTATGCAGCTCTCCTAGTTTGGATACAGAAATAGATGTTTTTGTGTGTATTACAAAAGAGAAGAGGGTCACTTTAAATCATATGTAGTACTGCACTGACATACGAGGTTGTGCATTCACCTGCACCGTTGTACAAAACTATTTAAAAAAATTAAGAAAAAGGTTTAAAAAAAAAAAAAGATGATTACATTGGATAATCATTAGAAATAACATTCAGTTTCTCTGCAAATTCACAAATTTGTGGTGATAATCAGCAAACACATACAGTAGCTCCAAAGAACAAGGCTTTCTTTAAATGCTGTTTCTTCTGGTTAAATTTGAAATCATCTTATGTGGCCTGGCAGTAAAAACAAACATGATGAGCTGATTCAGTCTGCACTAACCACTGAATATCCAGGACAATGCATACACAGTAAGAACCACCAGATCCATCTCTGTCCTTCAATCAACCTCACCTGCAGCACATCCTTCCCAGCTTGATTTCTCTGTCTCGCCAATCTTTACAACTCCTTTTCTCCTTCCTTTGTTTCCAATCTCTCATACTGTCACGATGACAGTCGTGACTGTCGTTCCCTGTGTTTCCCTGTGTTTCCCCATTCTAATGTTGTGCACTTGTCTCTGTCTGTGTGGTGGGCGTGGCACATTTCCCTGATCCTGCCTGGATAATCACCGAAGCACACCTGCCGGT